GAAAAATGTCTGACTAAATTAATTGGAATTTTGGTTGAAAATAGAGTCAGAATTTTCTGGTTAAATCTATTAAAATTCTATTTGAGGTGACCGCGGAATTCCGATATAATCAGAATCTTGTGATTTGTTCATTTTCAACTAGACATTTTCTTCAGTGTAGTATATTTCTTGAAACGTGGATGGAAGGGGGACATCGTACGTGATGTAGCAATTGGTACGATAATGTTCGAAGACAAACATAAAGCTGTATTACGATATAAATGGTAATGCTGATTCCCACTTGATTCTCAAAATACGAGAACCAAATGGGAAATCACGTGTGGCGAGCATAAATATAATCGTCACGTTTGAAATCGGTCAACTCAGTTGCAAACTGCAGGAACTTTCAGTTCTCGTAGTAGAGCCGGTAGGAATATACACATGTAATCAAAGAGGTTTTCAAGAAGCTAATTAAGATAATAATTTTGTTTACGGTTTACATCTTGATTATAATTAATGTTTTAAATTTTAAGTACATTTTTCAGTAATGTAAATCACAAATTGTATAAAACCATTACATAAATTTTTATGTATTTCTAAAGAAAGTAAAAAATTAAATTCTTCGCATGTGCTTGTATCTTACATGCTATATTCCTACTTTCTCTTCTAATATCTATGTTATACTTGATACTATCGATATATCTAGAGACATATTATGCGCAAAGAAATATCATCTAAATTATCATCAAAATAATCAGAACAAGTTCTTACTTTTCTCATTCTAATCGTCCTACGGCTCGAGTATCACTCGAGTCCATCGTGATAAATTGTAAAGAATGTATTTTTTGTATTAAATTTAATATATTTTGTGGCATGCTTTTCAAACTGTGTACATTAAAAAGAGAGAAAGTGCTTGAATTTGTACGTTAATAAGGGTTAAGGATTTTGCGTGACTGATTCTAATGTATCCTTGCAACGACACCGTTAAAATATCTTTTTGCTTTGATACGAAAATAAAACCATACATATATATTCTTAAATGGTGTTAGTATAATATGCGTATTTTTGCTACGGCATCTCGAGAATATTGAGAGCTGCCATTTAGTATAATTCGCACAAATTAATATTAGAAAAATCATATTAAAAAAAACCACGATAGCTTTGGGAGCAAACAGGACTTTTTTCTAACTTTTGATTCTTTTTAATGGAATGAAACCGCGATCGTACTTTGTACATAGCTTAAATATGTATCAATGCGCGTCTAATATTATTATATTAATTATTATTATTGATTATTATTATTAATTATTATTTTATGGATGTTATCGAAATAGCGCTTAGTCGTTCTGTATTGTAGCCGCCGATAGGCCTCACGAGTGTAGAGCTGCATTTCGTTGTATGGTATCATAGGAGAGTTAATAATGTTATTTTATTATTATTAAAATTATTATTATATTATATTATTATATTATTACTATATATGATGTATCAATATTCATGCATGTATCGCTAGCTTTACACTACCGAGGCACACGGTCAGCCCGGTAGGAAGATTCATGTCCTTTGTCTCTCCAAGAGAGATGAGATAACATGCGCATGATTCCATGTACGCTTTCCGCAAATCGTATTGTATTAGTATGTGTGGGAAAGTTCCACTCCAACGGACCACAAATAAATTCGCCAAGTTGTAAAATGCTATTTCGTCCTTTTTTTCTTTTATAAATCCCCCTTAGCGTATTAAACAATTGAACTATTAAAAAAATCTGTGTTTCATGATCTTAAAAATCTTTCCACTTTTGCATTTTTTTTATCACGGAATGATTAGAGAAGCTTTTCTGGTACTTAAACTATTTTGCGAATTTTGCAGCACAAGTACAATTAATTAATTATAATGGATTCTGATTTTATCTCATTGCAGTATTTTTTGCGTAATACATATAGAGTAGTGCAATGAAAATCGTAATATAAGACAATCATTTTACAAATTGCGACTGACTTACAATTAATCTGCATCTGGTTGAGGCGAGTTATGAGATGACTCAATCGTAGAAATTATCGGGATAATTCATTCCTGAGGATCACTCGGATTCGTCGTCACGCAAATCATAGCCAGTTAAGCGACGGCCGGCAGCTAGGCGAAAGAGAAGAGTAGCAGTATCTGATCAAGACAGATCTCCCGCAGGCGTGAAATAGCAAGCCGCATGAAACCATCCTTCTTGTCACAATAAGTCAACCGATGATTAGTGGTGTATTGTATTCTAATTGATGTTACACGACAAATATTTTATTTAAAAAATGTTAAATGTGTGGAGATATATATACTTCAATAAATTAAAGTACGCTTTATCTTTTCTTTTTTTCAATAAAATTTATCATTTTTTACCTTTGCATCACAATCATCAATATAACACAATATGTTGCATTAATGAGCAATGTTAAACAAGCTATTATCTAACGCTATTTTAACGTCTCGTGCACAATTCTTCCATCGTGCACTTTGTGCATTGTGCAACGTACTTAAAGAGTTCGAAGTTGTATCCCATGAGCGAATAAGATTGCACGCGGTGCATCCTGTTCACTTTATGTTGTGGCTGGAAGCTGCTCTCACCTCCTGGGGCAAAAGTCGTGAGCTGAATGTCATGGTGATTGAATACGACCCACTGATGTGCTTCCCCCGAGATGTACAGACTATACGTGCTATTGATTTTCCGCAATTTTCTCCGCAGTGTTCCGTCTAATTGCTTTAACCATCAGTGTTATAACAATATTTGATAATGTATAAATAAATGTTCGTTTATATACGTTGAATTCATGCATAAATGTATCTATAATATATATATTAAGGAAAACCTTTTTTCCAAGTGTTTTTCTACTTCAGGACTTTATCTAAAATTGCGAAAAGCACGTATGATAGACGGAAAGCAAAAATAAGAGGAATCTACAATATATTAATTTTATTCAATTAGAGAAATATTTTATAGGTATATAAAAACTAGTATTATTATTCTGAAAATGAAACGTAGCACTGTCCTCGCTAGTAATATTAATTATTGAATAAAATTTCTGTACTCTATAAGGCAAAGAACCTCTCTTTGTGTAGTTACCTCGATAACATTTCAAAGAAATTCATTCGCACCCGCACCTTCGATCGCAATTTATTATTGCCTCCGCAAACTCGCAACCGGGCATGCAACTGATAAAGCCGCTTAGCGTACGAACGCGTTTCCACACGCTTAGTTATGGGCGTGTGCGGAGTGTTAAGCTAGCGGGCAGAAGCTTCCCATGGAACTCTCACCTCCGCGGGCGGAAAGTGAACTTCGCGGCCGACGCGACGTTCAGCAGTCGTGCAGCCGCGATCGCCGCCGCCGCCGCCGCCGCCGTGGCCGCGATCCTTTTTCGGGTGAAAGGTTGGCGAAAAATGCCCGACGGCAGCTACTGCGGTAGCTCCAATGCCACGGATCGCTTTCACTGCGGAAGAGATCAAATTTTTTTGCGAAATACTTGGATTCCGACTTGGTTACAGAATCATTATCTGTCGTATGATGAAACATTGAAAAAATTGTCAATTTAATTGTTCTGTGTGCTCTCTAAACACTTTTCGAGTGAACCTTACTCTAAAGAATGAGATCTCACTCGTACAGATTGAAAATTAAGCTACTCTTTCTTACAACTAGCTCAATTTCCATTCTGGAGATTCCACTCCGGAGAATTTCGAGAGTACAGAGTTTCATAATTTAACATATCTGTGTTAGTGCATTTTGCAATTCTTCAAAAAGTATTGTTTGAAAGCGGTAATATCGTGACACAAGGGTCGGGGACGCAAAGAAAGAAGAAGAAAGGAATGCAGTAGTTAAAACATAACTGTTATTGTACGATTGCGTATTACTGCGTGTAACGATAATTATACAGGAAGAGACAATATCAGTTTCATATATAGATGCCACTCCTCTCAAGGACCTCTTTGTTCGCATTCAATCGTTGGCGAACATGAGTCTGGATCCGAGCCCCTTTTCGCGAAAGGATCAACGGAGATCAATAAAGCGCGTAGTTTGGCGCGTAGTTAATCGATGAAAGCAATGAGACGAGGTCATAGATGAATATAGATACACGTAATGACGTTTACGTTATAAAATATTATTAACCGTATAGAATCGAATTGAGGAAAGGCAATATGCGAGAAGATAATCAAAGACGGTTACATGTGAAAGTGAGCGCGATTGTGTATAGTAGCAAAAGGTGAGTGCCTAAAGGTTAAGAAGGTTACTATCGC